CCACAGATTAGGAAATCCATTCACATTACAGTCTTTATTAAGCACCTACTATGTGCCATGCACATGGGCCCAGGGGATCCAGTAGTAAGCAGAGCCGACAAAAATTCTGCTTACTTTCTAGTTGGGGAGATGGATGGTGAGCAAGCAGAAACACAGGGATGTTAGATAAGTGCTACGGAGAGAAGGAAACAGAGGGGGTGCTGGTGGGATGGTGCGGGACTAACAAATAAGGTCATCAGGGAAGATCTCTCTGAGAAGACATCGGGCAAAGATGTGGAGGAGAGAAAGGAGTGGACTTGGGGCAGAGCTGAAGGCAGGCAGGGAGGTGATGGCAGAAAAGTCATAGGGGCCTGGTGAGCACGTAGGACTTGGGTTTATACTGGGATTGCCCAGGACTGAGGCAGTCAAGGGAAGCTTCCAGGAGGAGGCACCTTGGGACCTTGAAGGCAAGCAGGACTCTGACAGCTAAAGATAGCAAGAAAGACAGTACCAACTGGTCCTGGACCCAGGTTTGAGGCCCAGCTCCTTCAAATAGTCCCTGTGAGACCTTGGGCAAGTTTCACCGCTCTGAGCCGGTTTCCTCATCAGTAAAATGTCATTAATACTAACCCCACCCATGACACTAATGGGATGGGCAGGGCAGCATGGACATGGCCCATAGCAGGTGCTCAGTCTATGTCTCCTGGTGTCCTGGGAAGGAGCACATTCCTACAAGTGCCTAACAGCTTCACCAGCCCAGGTCCCTTCCCCCTTTCCAGTGGCCCTCAGCCCTCCAAGCCCAGTTTGGTTCAGAAAGCAGGTGAGTAACAGCCAGGGGCTGAGGTCTTCCTTAGCAAGGATCCAGAGTCCCACTATCTACAGCTTCCTCTCCTACCTCAGGGCTTTTGCACATGTCCCTTCCATCCCCTTCACCTGATTACTTCCTAGTTGGATCTCAGCATAAAAGCCACGCACTCCAGTGAGAACATCCCACCACCCCATCGGGGCGGGACCCCTGCTGTTTGTTCTCACAGCTCCTGAACTTTATCTCTCAGCTCTTAACGCAGTCTAGTTTAATGTCCGTCCTGCCACTAGACTGAGAGACAGCACTGGTCTTGTTTACTGTTGTGTGTCCTTTGCACAAAAGAGGCACTCAATCCACAGGTGCCAGCAAAAAACAGAAGTGTCAGCTCCAGATTGCTCAGTCCAATCCCTGTCCATTATACATGAGGGACTCTGAGGCCCAAAGAAGGTAAGATGCCTGCCCACACTGAGCAGCAGTCCCCCAGCCCCAGGTCTGTCTCTTCCTGAGGTGCCCACTGAACTGCCTAGCCTCCTTGGCCCCTTGGTCCCCCAGGGCTCCACCTGCCACCTCCCCAGATTAATGGTGAGCCAGCACAGGGAGAAAATACCAGGCCGAAGCACGTTTAATTTTAATTTAAGAATCAGTTAAAGCATCAGGTCTGCTCAGCTCTGGGCTGTCAATCAGCTTTCCTCAAGGCTGCATCAATTAGTTTAAAAATATTGAATGCAATTTTGCCTGACACAACATATTGCAGCTACTGCAAAATATAATTTATTTTAGAAGAAGAAATAATTAAACTAATTTGCATGTCAGTCAGCTGAACTGAGATGCCAAGAGGGAGGATGGGACCCATGGGGAACCCAGCCCTTGGAGAGGGCACCTGCCACCAGGCATGAGTGAGGTCAGCTCTGGCCTGGGTCCGAGCAATAGTTGCCACTGGATGGACAATATCCAGATAGCAGGAGAGCCCACTGGCATTGTATCTAGACCAAGAGCTGGACTTAGGGTTGGGAGACATAGGACCCAGCCCAGCTCTGCCAGCGATGCACCTGTGGCTTTGGGCAAAGTCCTGCCGCTCTCTGGGCCTCAGTTTTCTCATCTACAAAATGGACTTAACAAGACCTCCTTTATGGGTTGTTTTGCGGTGCAAGTAAGGTCACAGAGAAGAAAGCTTGTTATAAATTGAAAAGTCCTGCACAAAGATTAATTAATTGATGGATTCCTTGTTTTATACCAGAAACATCTAAAGTGGTAAAATTATGAATTATTATCAATTATTATAAGTGATCCTATGATCAGGAGGAGTTTGGGGAAAGTCAATCAGAAGTAAGATGTCCCCCATCTGCCAGTCACCCCAGGGCAGTGGTTGGCAACCCTTGCTACACATTAAATTCCTAGAGCTGTTAAAAAGCATCAATGACCAAGCCTTGGGCACTAGAGCGTTTTGAGGCTTCCTGGGTGATTTCTAACATGCAGCCAGGCTGGAGGCTGCCGCAATGTCCAAGGCACTGGGTGCTGATGTCGGACTGGCCCATAAGCTCGAGGGGTTGCAGGCCAGCCCCCAATTCAGGGATTCCTGAGCTAAGCTGGGCAGGTGGCACTTATGTGATGTAGAACACACCTCTTCAGGTGTGCCCATTGAGCTGCCTGACCCCTTAGACCTGAGACCCTTGCTCATGCCAAAGGGTTCAGGGCTGTCCCAAGAGGTAAACTGTGACATTTTAGAAGAGGAGGTAGGATAATGGCAAAATGGTAATTATGTGAGGTGAAGGATGCGCCAACTACCCCTATCCGGGTAAACATTTTGCAACATATGTGTGTCAAATCATCACATTGTACATCTTAAACTCAGACAGTTTTAAATGTGAATTATATCCCAATAAAGCTGGAAATTTTAAGAGCAGGTAGGGAAGGCCCCGCAGAACCCAAAGGAATGGTACAATAAGTGGGGGGATCTTACCAGCAGGGTGTCTGCCCGCTGAGGAACTCATCCTGCTCTGACGTCTCTGTTTCCTTGGCCCACAGGACCCTGTCTGTCCCTCTGGTCCATGCAGGACCCCCCACACTACACCCCTGCCACTACGCTTCCTGGGAACCCTTCCCTGGCCACCCCCTACCCTCCCTCTGCCTCAGTGGGGAGAGAGGTGGCTGTTCCTGGCAGTGGGCTTCACCCTTCCTTCCTCCCGAAAGTACCCACCGTCTGTCTAAATTTTCTGACAACACACTCTTAAAAATAATGCTCACCTGGCATTCCCAGTCACGACTCCCATCTCTCACCCCTGGAAAAGCCCCCTCTAATCACTGAAGCAGCAGATCTGGGTGAGCTGAGAAGATAAGGTGCCCCTGGCTAAGGGGAGCTCCAGAGAAGAGTCAGGGTCTGAGTTAATTAAAGACTCTCCCCACCCCCATTCTCCCCGACCCCCCCAGGAGGTGGCTACACCTGCCTCCCAACTCCATTTTTCTTTTAATCAACCCACGAGCAGTTGCAGTTGGCATCCAGTAGGCCCCTGAGTTCAGATAAAGAGGCAGCCACCTACCAGCTTCACTCCCTGAAAAACTCATGGGGTTCCTGGCCACCTGGAAGCTTCCAGGCTGCCCCCAAATCAGCTCCCTGCCAGCCAGGCTAGAGACCCAACCATCAAGCCACTGCTTGGAAGCAGGTAGTTCTCTCCATTCCTTGAGGTCACTGGCAGGTAGAGCATGTCAATAAACTCATGACTAAGATATTTGAGGACGGGGCACCAATGAGCACTCAGAGGTCTAGGGAGTGAAGGGGCTAACAGTCAGGGTACTGCTCAGAGAGGACAGGCTGGCATGAGGCATCCCAACATCCTACAGTCACTTGATGTCATTGCTGGAAGGACCTTTGAGGATGTCTATTTATTTAAAAAGCACTTGCTATCTGTTGTATGGTTTTAAGTGCTTTGCAGATATTAACTCGATCTGTCCTCTTATTACTAGTAGCCCCCTTTTTGCTGGTGAAAAAACTGAGGCACAAGATGGTCACGTGACCTGGCATGGATCACACAGCTACTAAGTGGCAGAGTTGGGATGGGAACCACTTGGTCCCAGTGTCCTTACTCTTAGTCACTGTGCTCTGCTCATTTTCCAGGTGTGGAAACTGATATTAGAGAGGGAAAGGTCTTACCCAAGATCAAACACTGGGTCAAGGACAGAGTCATGCCTGGAATTCAAGCCTCTTCCAGTCTAAGTCCTTCCAGGCTTCATCCACCTGTTCAACAAATGTCTCAGAACACGCTCTGCACCCACAGTGTTGTGGGCCCGGGGAACCTGAACTCAAAGCCATCACAGGTGGAGGAATGGGGCCTTCACAGTTTGGCTGAGGACCCTGGCAAATAATCCCCTCCAGTCGGCTTGTCTTGCCCTCACGATTGGATCTTGAAGAGCAGAGGTTTGGAAGTCCAGTTGTCAGCTGGCTGACTCTTTAACCTCTCCCATGTCTTCATTGCCCTTCAGCAATAGGGGGTGTAAACTATACCTCCTGTAAGATTTCTTCAAGGGCGCCTGAAATGGATGTGGATGCTCTGGGTGCCTTCTGTGCCCTTGCTGGCGATGGGATGGGGCCGGCAATGGTGATGAGAGTGTGGCTGGAGGTGGGAGTGGGGGTGGGGGGGTGATGGTGATGGGGCGGCTATGGTGGGAGCAGTGGTAGAAACGGCGGGCTGGTCCTGCTGGTTGTAATGGAGGTAGTGATCATGTTGGTGATGGGGCTGGTGGTGGCGAGAAGCGTGGTAATCATGATGGCCTCCATGCCTGTGATGATGGTAGGATGACGAAGGCGGTACTAGTGGATAAGGTAGTGGCAGCGACAGTTCTAATGGTGATGACCTAATGGTGATGGTAACAGAGGGGCGGTGATGGCATTGGTGACGGCGATAGTGGTGAGGCTGGCAGTGGGGGTACTGATAGATGTTGGTAGAGGTGGCAATGTTAACGCTAACGGTAGTAGTGGTAATTGTAATGGTGATGGTGATGGTGAAGCGAGTGATGGTGACAGCAGCGATAGTGGTGCTGGTTTTGGTGATAATGACCCACGTATGCCAGATGCCCCCAGTCCTGGTCCTTTTACCAGACTGATCAACCCACACATCTCTCAGAGTGACCCCACTGCCCAATCTAGTCCTGGCAGCGGGTGGCAGGTTGTCTAGATCTCACCCTCGATGCTTCTCAGCCTCCTCCTGCGCTCTTGTTCCAGACAATCATGCCCAGCTCTCCCGGGCGTCCTTACGGATCCGAATCCTGGATGTGAATGACAATCCCCCAGAGCTGGCCACACCCTACGAGGCAGCCGTGTGTGAGGACGCCAAGCCAGGCCAGGTACAGCCGAGGGGCTGAGGACTGGGGTTTGCTGCCAGGACTGGCCCGGGAACCCTCTAGCCAGGCCCAGAGTAGGCTTGGCCTCACATCAGCTCCTGCCCCCTCCTCACCCTTCAGCTCATCCAGACCATCAGTGTGGTGGACAGAGATGAGCCTCAGGGGGGGCACCGCTTCTATTTCCGCCTGGTGCCTGAAGCTCCTAGCAACCCTCATTTCTCTCTGCTTGACATCCAAGGTGAGTTACCTCTGAACCACCAGATTGTAGGATGCCCTGAGGGAGGGGTCTAGCCTCTTGCTCCCTTCTCATATTATAGATGGAAAGACTAAGACATCCCAAGGGCTGTGCTGGGTCCAAGACCACACAGAAAGTGCAGTGGAGCTGTTACCCAGCCTGCTGGTCAAACCTGGAAGAACGAGCAAGGGGGATTGCTAGAGTGGAAAGGGGGCATCCCAAAGGTAGAGAATGGTAGGTCGAAAAGATACAGAGGGGAAATATGTGAGGAGTGGGTGGGCCAGAGTCTAGGGTAGAAGGATCCCCTGGTCTATAAGCAGATTGAAAGAAGCCACATGCACACATTCCCACCTTCAGTTGAAAAAGTGCTCTGGACAACTCGCATTTCTCTCTGCATCCTTACAGACACCCTGGGAATGGTGTTCTTACCCTACCCCCATTTTTCAGATGATGAACCTGAACTCTAAAAGTATAAGGGACACCTCAGGGTCATAAAGGGCATCAGTGGTGAGCTGTGATCCAACCACACCTGCCTCAGATCCAGTGTGCTTCCCGCCTTAGCTGCTGGCCACCTTGACCTTGGCTGGCAAACTGCCCCACCCTGTCCCAGCTCACCCCACTGTGACATATGCCCCAGTGAGTTCCCCAAGAAGGTGAAATCTGAGCCTTTGAGGAACAGACTGGGGAGGGGTGTGGCCAATGGACTGGGAATGAGGGCCACGGGTCCCAACCCAGGCTGAGCTGCTGGCTCGCTCTGCAACCTCAGCAAGGTCTGCACCTTAGCCTCAATCTCATCATCTGTAACATGGGACTGAAAACACCTGGCTCCTCACTAGGTGGCCCACGTGAAATCAGGGCTACCGAGGTATATACTCTTAGGACCTAGAAAGTGGCATTCCCTTCTTTCAGCAATTATTTCTTGAACAATTGTTGAAACACAGTGCCTATATGTCAGGCACTGTTCGAAGGCCTGAAAATACAGGGCAAACAAGATAAAATCCCCACCCTCATGGAGTTCACATTCTAGTGAAGAGAGACAGAAATTAAGCAAATAAATAATATGATGGGGATGGTAAGTGGTTGGCGGAGGAGGAGGGGGAATAATGCAATCTCCACTAGAGTCTGGACTTTGTCTAATTCAGTGCCAGACCCTGGTGCCTAGAGAAGTGCCTGGCACATAGTTGGTGTTAAGGAAAGTATGTTAAGCAGGGAAAAATATGAGTAGAAACTATTTTACTCTTAAAAAGTAAGAATAGAAACTATTTTAAATAAGGTGATCTGGGAAGTCCTCTCTGAAGGAATCAAAGTGGGTAAGTATCTAAAGGAAATTCAGGAGTGAGCCGTGCAAGTAATTGGACAAAGAATGATCCAGGTGGACAAAACAGCAAGTGCAAAGGCCCTGGGGTGGGAGCAGTCTTGGGATGTTTAAGGAATAGGAGACCTGTGTGGCTGGAGTGAGTGAGTGACACAACTAGGAGGAGATATAGTCAGAGAGGCACTAGGGGCCAGATTATGTTGGTTCCTTCTGACCCTGGAGAAGGTCTGGGACCACCCACAGGACGTTTACACTCCTTCCCTCCAAACGGAGAGACCTCAGTGGCCTCTGAAGCCAGACCCATCTATATTTTCAGTAGTCATTTAAAAAATATGTAGCAATCGGTGCAGGTCAGATAACCAATCAGAAAGGACACTGACCATAAATAACTTGGAACAGAGTTGGGGAGCCCCTGCTGTGGCAGGCTTTAACCCCTTAGTGGCTTGACTGTGTCAGAGTGGAGAGTCCTTGGGGGAAAGCAGAGGAGATAGCAGGGAAGGATTTGGGGGGCTCAGAGTCAAGGCTATTTAAGCCTTTTTGGAAATATTTCGATATTTCAACAACCAGTACCGCTCTGCCTGCTCATTATTCCAATGGTTTTGTGAGCTAGTCCCAGGAGATACAAGTAACCCTGGCTTGACCTCACCAAGTTCACAAGTCTTCCCAACCCAGGGGGCCTGAAGTTCTGTCCCAACTGCCTCTCCTTGACTGGGAGCCCCCAAGAGCTCCCATCCAGTGTGACCACCTGGTGTGAGCTCTGGGAGCCAGGGCGGCGCAGCCATGGACGGTACCCTCTAGTCCCCAGCGCCTTCCCGTGGCATGCCCAGCCTCCTCCTCCTCACTATTTTAAATATCCTGGGTGACAAACAGCTACCCCAACCCATCTGTTTCTTTGTACACATTTGTAGCCGGTTTGGAAATGTGATTTATAAATATTGCTTTTGCAGCCAGGGATTGACACTGATGTATGTCAGGCCAGATGGATGGATGCAGAGCTGGGCGCAGATCCCGCCTAGGAGGGTGGGGAAAGGGTCTGGGGTGGCCAGTGGCTTTCCCCAACTGAAGCCAGCCACTGCCCAGAAGGTGGCCCTGGGGGTTCAGGGATGATGCCCGGGATTCCCTCCTGTTGGCTGGAAGAGTGGCAGGGACCAGAGCTCTCGGAACATATGGCATCTCTCCTGTCTTCTGTTCTTGCTTGGGAATGTGAGGCTGAGCCAGAGCCAGCCCCTCATTTTTCAAATCTGCCTACTTCTCTGTGCCTCCACTAACACTATCATCTCATACCTAAAACCCACAGTAGCTTCTTAAGTGGTCTTCCACATCTACTCTTGTACTTTTAGATTAGAAGCTCTCTGCCGGGAATGTAGGCTCATGAGGGCAGGTAACCATGCCTGTCTTGTTTCTTGCTGTGTCCTCAGGGGCTAGAACAATCCTAATAGACAGAGGGGGTTCAATTAGTATTTGTTGTTGAATGAATGGGTGATATATCACTAGGTCACATCTTTGCTTAAAACCCACCAACCAATGGCCTCCCATCACTTTTAAGAAAATTCCCCCTGTTCTTTACTACCACCTTTAAGACTTTCTATGATGAGCGCCTGCCTTCCCCTCCAGCCTCGTCCTAACTCCCTCTAGCCACCACCCTCAACCCTGCAAGGACTGCTTTCAGTTCCATGACTACCCTATGCTTCTTCCAACCCCAGGCCTTTGCATGTGCTGTTCCTTTTCCTGAACTCATCATTCAAGACTCAGCTATAATATCACTTCTTCCAAGGTCTCCCTGACTTCTGAGGCTGGGTCAGGTCCTCTGTTATGTGCTATTCCTATATTTTTCCTTCTTAGGACCCTCTGTGGTTTGTATCTCAGATCCAGGACTGTGGTTGATGCAGCTCTCCATTGTTTTCCCTCAGTGACTAACATGGTGCCTAGAACATAGTAGTTACTCAATAAAGATTTATTGGATGGATGGATGGATGGATAAATGGATGGTTGGGTGGATGGATGGGTGGGTGGATAGGTAGAGGATGGATGGATAATTTGATGAGTGGATAGAAAAGGTAACTATGTCATCAATTCACTGGATAAATTCAGACAAGTCACTTTTTACATATATAAAATGGAAATAATGTCACACTCTTGGTTGTGAAGATTAAACATCACCATGTATTTAAAGTATCCACACAGTCCTTGATGCATAACCAGACGCAGTCAGTGCCCAACACTATCCCTTCTTTCCCTCCTCTTGCTCTCTAGCGTCCTTTCTCCCCCAGGGGTAGGCAGGTATTTCCCAGCTGGGGTTGACTCACCCTTTGACAGGAAGCCAGAGCTCCAGCCAGATCATGAGGAGCTGACCCAGGACCACCAGTTACCCCAAAACTTGTGGCTCATTCCAGCTTTATTCTTCAAGTCTGGCTGTGTACCAGGGAAGAGACAGGCGCACGCTAACTTAACGCAATGTGACAAGCGCTGTAACATAAGTGTGCATGGCACCTGCCTAGTCAGAGCAGGGAGGGGGGGGCCATAAATCCTTCCTTCCCAGGGAAGCAGAGAAAGGAGGCCACAGAAAGGAGGTGACATTTAGCTGGAGCATGACGGATGAGGAATTTACCTGGGCAAGAAGGCAGAGAGGGTATTCCAACTAGTGGGAACGTGGTGAGTAAAGGCAGGGCAGCCTAGACAGAGAGCAGCACGTGATACAGCCCAGGGAACGTGGTGGTGGGTGTGAGGAAAGTAACAAACAGCATTTGTTGAGGCTTTCTGTGTGTGGGGAGCTAGTCTAAGGGTTATGCATGACTTTTACCATTTAATCTTCACACCTATGTGATACTGTTTTCCTTAGTTACACACGAGGAAACTGAGGTCAAGAGAAGCGAAATGAGTTTCCCATATAGTAAATGATTGACTCAGCATTATTTTTAACATTTCTATGGAAATTTTCATATGTGTGTTAAAGTAGACAGAATACTATCATGAACCCGTATGTGCCCATCACTTGAGCTTCAACCCATGACCAGCCTCATTTCATCTGGACCCCCAGTCCATTTCACAGACGTGCTCAAGGCCATAAGTCAGCCGTTCCAAGGGCTCTTTTTCCCCTGCATTGTGTCCATCATGGGGAAGGCCAGGACTGGGGCCCTGGACTGTGGCCACAAAGCTGGGGGAGGGACCCAAGCTGCCAAAGTCTGAGGTCAGTGAGGAAGGAAGACAGGGCCCCTGTTTTGTGGAGTTGGCTGTGAAGGGTTGGGGGCAGCAGCCAGCTGGGCTCCAAGTACTTCTCTACCGCCACGTTGGCAACCATCAAAATAACAAAAGCTCAGGGATGCCTGACCCATACAGAAGGGGTGTGGAGGGGGCGGGGAGGGCGGGGGAGCAGGAGCCACTCACCACATAATCCCTTTCTCCAAAGCCCCCCAGATCCTGCCTGGGGTCCCGGTACTGTGGATTTGACTCCTGTTAGTTCACTGTCCTCTCTGGCCGCACATTAAAAAGGAAAGAGGTGGGTGAGGAGAACTGGGTACAATAGGGTCCCTATGTCCGGCTCCAGGGGCCATGCCCCAGCCCTCCTGGCTCAGCCTCTTAATTCCTGACAGAAAGCCCCCTCAGCCAAGGGCAGGTGCCAACCAGCGTTTCCATTCTTCTCTGATGATCCAGGGCAGAGCCGAGCAGACCACAAGCAGCTAGAGAAGAACCACAGGACTCGGGGTCAGGACGTACTGGGCAGCTGGGACAAAAACAAGCTGAATGGAAGGATGAATGGAAAGAGTTTTGACATAGCCAGGGACAGAATCTTGGGATAGCTGGGGACAGGACCTTGGCACAGCTGGGGACAAAATCTTGAGACAGAATAAGGGCAGAGTTGTAGACTAAATGGCTGGGAACAAGATATTCCAGCAGCTAGGGACAGAATTTGGGGACAGCTGGTAACAGAATTTTGGGAGATCAGGGAATAGACCCAGGCATCGGCTGGGAGGCAGCAGTTTGGGGCATAGGGAGGCAAATCCCAGGGTGGAATGAGGAGGTGTCTGGGACAGGGGAGGCTGATCCCGGGCCCCAAGTCACATGCCACTCCCTTCTCCTGGAGCAGACAACACGGCCGCAGTGCACACGCAGCACATGGGCTTCAACCGGCAGGAGCAGGATGTGTTCTTCCTGCCCATCCTGGTGGTGGACAGCGGGCCGCCCACGCTGAGCAGCACGGGCACGCTCACCATCCGTATCTGTGGCTGCGACAGCTCCGGCACCATCCAGTCCTGCAACACCACGGCCTTCGTCATGGCCGCCTCCCTCAGCCCCGGCGCCCTCATCGCCCTCCTGGTCTGTGTCCTCATCCTGGTCGGTGAGTCCACTGAGAGCCACTGCCTACCCAACTGGCCTCCATCCTGGGGCCCTGGATTGCCTTCCCTAGTAGCCCCCATGGAGCCTCAGTTTCCCTCTCCATGCAGGAAGGGTTGGCCTGAATGATCGCCCAGCTCTAGTCTGCGGCTCCTATGAGAAGCCTTGTAAGTACAGAGCAGCCCCACCACCAACTCCAGACAGTGTCAGCCCCCACCTGAGACCAGTTTCATACTGGCCCACCTCTACACAGCCCAAACTCCCTAGTTTTTAAAAACCAAGCATATTTTTAAAAATTATCTCATGTCTATTGTCCTTTTCTATTCTCTATGAAAGACTTTGAGTAAAAAGGGCTCTTGTGAACTTCACAACCATTCAGCCAAGTGTATCCCCCATTTTTCAGATGAAGAAACTGAGTCTCAGAGAGGCTAAGTGACCTGCCTAAGGGCATGCAGTTAGTCTTCTGACTATAATACAATCAGGTCTTCTCACCTTGTGTTCCCTGCTCCTTTCACTACACCACCTGCTATAAATCTAAATGGGGGGTAAAACTGGGGCAGCTGGAGCAAAATCTTAAGACGTTTGGGGCAAAATCCACTGTGGGATCAATTCTACTGGCGGTCAGTTGAACCCCTAAAGTGTCCTCTGTGAATAGATCACATTTCAGGAGCTAAAATGGATTCCAGTGTCCATGATGTCATCTCTCAATGTCACATAGAAAGGCCTCACCGGGGCTTTGACACTAACTTCATGGAACAGCCAGAGTGAGTGGGACTCTGGGAGGTCCAGGCTGCAGATACCAGCTTTCTTAGTTCCCAGGGAGATGTCAGCTGCCTCCTGTCTCTCGCTACCTGAGCTGAAGTGGCTGCTGCCCATCCCAGGAGGACCTGCCTGTGGCCAAGCTGCACCTTCTCGGGTTCCCCAGAAGCCTGTGTTCACTCCTCCTTGCTGGGAGGCCCGGGCCCTCCCTCTTCTCCCCACCCCAACCCATGGCTCAGAAACCCTTTTTCCAGAGGGTGCACTTTACAGCGGTTTCATTTTCTGAGGCAGTGCAAACAAATTTCTGCCTAATTGCCCACAAACGAAGAAAGTGCACATCAGTGCTCTAAAGGTGATGGGCGGAATCGCTGATCAGGCCTGGCACATCTGTTGCCCGCCGCCCGAGCTCCCCACCATCTGCTCTCACGGGCATCCCCCTCCGCAGTTCCCAGCCGAAAGCCATCCATCCATCTTTCCCACTTCTCTCCTGACACCTGCCCTCCCTCCAGACCTGTACCCAGCCCCACCCCCTTCCTTGTCATGAGCCTCCTTGTTAGGTCGTAAGCTGGCGCCCTGCCCCATGGCCCTAGCAGCTGGCTCTGGCCACTGGCCCGGCCTGAGATGTTTGGAGTAGCAAAAAGAATCTAGTGCTTGGTCTTGTACCCAGCACATGTCTGTCCACCCCCTTATTCATTTAATTCTCTCATTCATTCATGGATCAGTTCCTTACTTATCCATCTGGTGAGTCCCCACTATGTGTTAAACTATTCTAGGCACTGGGATTCATCCATAAACAAAAGAGATGAAAAGAAAAGCCCTGAGTAACTGCAAAGTTGGGGTTGCCATCCTGAGATGGGGGAGACTGAGGGTGGGGAAGGGGAAGGGTTATTTTTTCAAATTTGGACATGTTAAGTTTGAGCTTCTCTTGGTCAACCCAGAGGACTTGTTGAATGGGAAACTGGATGTACAGTCTGAATTTCAGCAGAGAAGTCTGGGCAGGAGGTTGAGATATGGGAGTAGTCAGCCTCTGAATGGCACTTAAGACATGAGACTGAAGGAGAGCACCCAGTGAGGGTGTGTGGATAAAGGATCAAGGGCTGAATCTTGGGACATGTGATGTTAAGTCAGAGAGGAGAGGAGAAGCCTTCTTAGGAGACTGAGAGCCAGTGATCAGTGAGGTGGAAGGAGGAAGATAAATGGGTCAAGTGAAGAAACCCAAGGGATGATTCATTCATTCACTCGTCCTTTCTCTACAGCTGTCTCCATCCAGCTCCTCAGTCATTCAACAAGCCTGTTTCAAGGGTTTATTGATGGCCAGGCACAAGCTAGGAGAACATTCCCCATGTCCTCCAGGGTAGTTTAGAGTGTGTATATCCTGGGCTGAGGAGAGACAGACATGTTGGCAAAGCAGAGTCTGTGCTATGATGAGCTGTGGCTCTCAAAGCCCAGCTGCCTGGGCATCCCCTGAAGGCCTCATGGAAACAGACTATGGGCCGCACCCAGCAGATCTAGGGTGGGGCCTGAGAACTTGTATTTCTAACAAGGTCCAAGAGATACTGATGCTGCTGGTCCAGGAATCATGCTTTGAGAACCTGCGTGTAGAAGGAGGAACCCCTCACCAGGGGAGCTTGGAGGTGAAGGTACTGCCCGGCATGGAGCTCTCAGGGAAGGGCTCTTGCAGGACATGCCTTGGCCTGAGACCCAAAGGGCTAAAGCAGGCACTTAGGACTTCTGGAGTGGACTGAGGAGAGAGGAGGTCATTTTCACCCTCCCACCCCATCTGCATCTCAAGTGCCCTCTTCATACCCCCAGCACCTAGACACTTCATTGCGGGTAGGAGGGTATCTCTTCATAGAGTTGAAGGTGGAGACCTCAGAGGTTGGGTCCAGCCCTCAACACCAAGGAAATCTCTTAACACTGCTGTCTTGGAGTGTTTAACCTTGGTTTGCATACCTCCCAAGATGGAGGGCTCGCTACCTATCCATACAGCCAGCTCAGTTCTATAAGAAAGGGGTTTTTATGCACAGAAATAGGAAATGTGCGCCAGCGTTTAGGCTGGGCCGGCTCCACTGTGGGTTTAGTGGGGAAGGATGGTCCTCGGAACGCCCTTACTCGCCCCCTTCTTCCTCCCGCACAGTGCTGGTGCTGCTGATTCTCACACTCAGGCGCCACCACAAGAGCCACCTGAGCTCCGACGAGGATGAGGACATGCGCGACAACGTCATTAAATACAACGACGAGGGCGGAGGCGAGCAGGACACCGAGGCCTACGACATGTCGGCGCTGCGGGGCCTCTACGACTTCGGCGAGCTCAAGGGCGGCGAGGGGGGCGGCGGCGGCGGTGCGGGCGGGGGCGCGGGTAGCCCCCCGCAGGCCCGCCTGCCCTCGGAGCGCCACTCGCTCCCGCAGGGGCCGCCGAGCCCCGAGCCGGACTTCTCGGTGTTCAGGGACTTCATCAGCCGCAAGGTGGCGCTGGCGGACGGGGACCTGTCGGTACCGCCCTACGACGCCTTCCAGACCTACGCCTTCGAGGGCGCGGACTCGCCGGCCGCCTCGCTCAGCTCGCTGCACAGCGGCTCGACGGGCTCCGAGCAGGACTTCGCCTATCTCAGCAGCTGGGGCCCGCGCTTCCGGCCCCTGGCCGCCCTCTATGCCGGCCACCGAGTGGACGACGAGGCCAAGGCCTCCTAGCCCCCCGCCCCCACCGTCCGGTGCTGCTCGCCCCACCCAGGACCCGACTGGACCCAAGGACAAAGCGTTTTCCCTGCTCACCCCCTTCCCCAACCCTCCCACCTCCCAGGGCGGCTGGACAGAAGGAGGGATTTGTTGGGGTCGTCCTCCCCAACGACCCTCCACCGGGGGCATGCAACATTTGCCCAGAGATGCGGAAATCTGACCGAGGTCATTAAAACTGCAGTGAGACCCGGGCACTGCGTGGCTCTGGGTTAGAAAGGGAGGTAGGGCAGCGTTGCTCCCTGGAGAAGGGGCGGGTCACTCACTCCTGCCTGGCCGAAAGCCCTGGAGGGAAGACTCTGCTGAGGTGTCCCCAGGCCTCCCCCATCAGAGTTGAGAGGAAAGAAGGGCTCTTCATTTACTAAGCGCCTACTGTGTGCTAGGACACTGCAAAGACCATCTTAGTCATCACAGAATCCATGAGGTGGGGCCCTGCAGGTAACAGATGGACAAAGCTACCCAGAGAAGTGGCTGTGACCTGTCCAAGGACACCTGGTCAGTGAAGGGTGAAGCCTTTGGCACTTACCCTTTGCCTGGCCTTGGTCAGGTTCCTGCGTTTCTCTGGGCCTCAGTTTCCTTGTGTGTCAATTGAGGCTAATAACAGGACCTACCTCGAAGAATTGTGAGGATAAAAAGGGTTCATAGTGTCACGTGGTTAGGACAGTGCCTGGCACATAGTAGGTGTTCAATAAATGTTAGCCTTTGACACTGTTACTATCTCTGTCATTATTAGAAGCCCAGGGTGTCTGCCTCCCAGGTCCAGCTCTCTCCTTGATGCCAGTTATCCTCCCCTTTTCCCAAAATCTCCAAGGGAAGAAGAAATGGTCCCAACTGTCAGTCCTGCTCCTGCCCTGAGTGGAGGATAGGGACATTCCCAGTGCCTGTGGAGCCCTCCGGAATCTCAGGAACACTGAAATAGGACACCTGGGATGTGTGAGAGGACAAACTGGGAAGTTCCAGGACTTGGATGAAGTGGGAG